TTCTCCAGACTAAACAGCCCCAGCTCCCTCAGCCGTTCCCCGTAAGACTTGTTCTCCAGACCCCTCACCAGCCTCATTGCCCTTCTCTGGACACGCTCCAGCCCCTCAATGTCCTTGTTGTAGTGAGGGGCCCAAAACTGAACACAGCACTCCAGGTGCAGCCTCACCAGGGCTGAGTACAGGGGCACAATCACCTCCCTACTCCCGCTGGCCACACTGTTCCTGATACAAGCCAGGATGCCGTTGGCCTTCTTGGCCACCTGGGCACACTGCTGGCTCATGTTCATCTGGCTGTCGACCAGCACTCCCAGGTGCTTTTCTGCTGTGCAGCTTTCCAGCCTCTCCTCCCCAAGCCTGTAGCGTTGCATGGGGTTGTTGTGACTCAAGTGCAGGACCTGGCACTTGGCCTTGTTGAACCTCATACAATTGGCCTTGGCCCATCGATCCAGCCTGTCCAGATCCCTCTGCAGAGCCTTCCTACCCTCAAGCAGATCAACACTCTTGTCCAACTTGGTGTCATCTGCAATCTTACTGAGCGAGCACTCAATCCCCTTACCCAGATCAATGATATTAAACAAGACTGGACCCAAAACAGAGCCCTGGGGGACACTACTCGTGACCAGCCACCAGTTGGATTTAACTCCATTCACCACAACTCTCTGGACTCAGCCATTCAGCTGTTTTTTTACCCAGCGAAGAGTACGCCTGTTGAAGCCATGAGCCACCAGCTTCTCTAGGAGAGTGCTGTGGGAGACAGTATCAAAATCTAATTCCATGCTAAACCCCTGAGTCTCTAAACATGAGAACGTCGTTTGAGACAAAGAAAGGGATAATGAACTATAATGAGTTTCACTGACATTTAAACAAAATTTAGACAGTGGAGTTTTGAGCATTATTTTTTTTAAACCTGTCTGGTTTTGTTTATTTTTTTAGTAAATGTTATAATGCCTTAAGATGCTATCAGTTGAATTTAGAGTCTTTGATTTATTTGTAATGTTTACAACTGTGATTAATTTTTAGAGTATGTTTAATTCTAATCGTCAGAAGATACTGGAAAGAACTGAAATCTTAAATCAAGAATGGAAACAACGCAGGATACAGCCTGTTCACATCATGACTTCTGTGAGCTCATTGCGCGGGACCAGGGAGGTTGGTTAACATGTGTTGTGGTAATTCCGCCTACAAGGTTGTTAGCACGTTTTTGTGTTATTACTGGAAAGTTGGCTGTTCTTTATATTTTTTTTCTAGCATGACATGACTTGGTAGCTAAATGTTTTTTTTATACGAGTCTCTTATTAACGAATTTATTTATTATTTGCTTTGATTGTATGACTTCTGGAAAGCAATAAATATGTAGCAGGCTACCTAGCTTTGAACGATACACAAAATTAAACTTATTTATTTCTGATAATACTTGGATCATACCTCAGCATCCTTTTGTGTCACTGACATTGAGAGTTTAATCTTGCTCCTATTGGGGTTGACCCCCAGTGGTACAAATGAGTAGTTACTTTGGTTATTACTGAGTTAAAGCACATGAAAGCTGTGAACATACCCACTTGACAAAGTCTTCTTTATATTAGTCATTTAACCGCAGAGGTTCTAAAAGGAATTAGTTCAGTTGAAGCACCCTTGTGTTGCACAAGCAGACTGGACGTTAAATTCGTGAAAAACACTTGCAGGGTTGTGATGCAATTTGAGCACCTAAACTGGGGCTTTCGTGTTGGTAGCTCGAACAATGGTTTAAGCGTACTCCAACTTTCTGTATTCATCCCAGGTTGTGCTCTTTAGGCACTTCTCCAAACTAAGCCAGTTTGAAGATGTTTCACATGTAATAATCTGAAAAGCTAACTTTTCAGTAGGATGAGAATGAAAAGACAACTGTGAATAGGTTAAAAAACCCAAAACAAAACACTTTGTCTTCAAGGAAGTTTGTCAGATTTTCCATTTCCTAAAATGTTACAGGAGATCCGGAGGCAGGTGTGTCACAGAGGTGCATTTATGTGCATGCCTGTTCAAATGCAAACAGGCAAGGACCTTTGCCTGAGTGTTTTCTTTTAAACATGATTGAATATGCAATTACTGATGTAAAGCTCTACACCTATTATATGACACTGTACGATCAGAACTTCTAATGTATTTGACACAAGTACACATAAAATTTTCACTTTTGTTAGTAAGGGATCATTCTTCACCATTCCTCTTTCCTTTTTTTTTCTCCTTTTTTTTATAGCTTGATTCACTATTCTGCTATGTTAATTTCCTGCCTGAATTGATTTCCTGCCTGAACTGATAGAGCACACTAATTACTGCATTCAAAACCAGTCTCTGTCTCATGAATCAGAACTCTAGAGCTTCATTTCAGATTGCCATAATTTATAGTGAGAGAAGTGAGACAAAGAAATGGTGGGGTTTAAAAGATGACTTTAAAATCTTTTTTGTGAATATACTGAATTTTTTTAAAGTTGCATGGGACACTGGCTAGAAGTTTAGTGACCTGATGGAAAGGTTTTGTGAGAGCCTTCATGTGTTTGGTGAAGACTGCAGGGCATCGCTGGTGACATGGGGTTTCTCCAATGGCTAGTCCAGTCAGTATCAACCAGAGACCGTAATGTGTCCTGTCCTAGCCTAATAAACTTTAAGCTGAGTTCCATACCAAAACAGTGGGGCAATATGACTGAAACTTAGTACCAAATACTCTGAGTCATTTTGACATAGCTCATTTGTCAGCCCAAAACGTCTCATTCTGAACAAAAGCAATGATTTTTAAAATACATGGAAAAATATGCTAGATAGCTGCTAGCTAGAAAATGAAACATTAACCTGAAAACAGGGGTAAAGCACTAGCATAGGACAGTGTCTTCAGTGCTGATATACACAGCAGAAATCTATTTTTATTTGCTGCAGATTAAAAAGAAAGTACATAAATCTGGCTTGTGTCATTCTACCGGGGTACTGTCTCTGTATATTGTTTGTTACATTACTTTGTGTATTTCTTTAGAAATGTGAAGCTCTGTTCATCTTTCCCTTCTGGAAAGGAGAAAGATCTTTTGTCTCCACTTCCTTTTTTCCTTTCAGGTAGCTATGATAGCTGTTCTAAATTTTATTTTACCTACCTCCAAATCTTCTTTGTTGTACTTTCCCTAGCTTTGTATGTTCCTCTCTGCTTTTGTTTGTAACTTTTTTCAGAGTTCTTCATACTACTGTCCAAGACATTGAGAAAAGTTGATCTGTGACTATTAACTGTTGAATAGTTGCAAGAATAACCTAGAAGTTGTCTGTGTTTCTATGGCATGTTTATCTTTTAGAGGCTACATAAACCTCTGAATCTCAAAAAAGTCCTATAGCTGAGAAAGTCATTGACATGTCCAGCATTGCCTATTAAGAGTTAACTTTCATTTTTCCATTGTAAGCAGTGAGCGTAATCAAAGGCTTGAGGATAGGTTGAAGATAAACAGACAATAATGGGGAAACAGGGCAGGAATTAAGAAGACATATGGAGGATTTATTTCTATAAGATGTCTTACTGGCATTGATGTAAAGTGGTGTTGTTTTTTTTTTTTTTTTTATCAGAAGTAATACATGATTTCTGCAGTGTATGTATCTGAAGCCAGGGAAATTCAGCTGTGTCTCTGATGGCTTGAGTAAATACTCTAACATCAGTGTAACAGCAACAGGTACTAAATGATTTTTGAGTTCCTAAACATAATTTGTATTGTAGGTTGAATAGTCTGAGTAAAATACAATCACAGCCACTTAAGTGGAAAAAAAGGTCATGATCTATTAGCAAAGGTATTGACACAGAAATAATTCTTGTGTCTTTTTTTCCTGCTAAACCTATCCTTACTATTATGCCCTAAAAATCTGATCATTTTTTCAAAGGCTGATATGGCTAATTTTGACTCATGCTTTGAATTTTATACACAGTAGAGTGTTCTTCTGTGATTTTGTTTTTCTTTTTGTTTCTGATGTTGCTATTTAAGTGTAACTTCAACCTCTTATTTCAGTGCTCTGTTACCAGTGACATAGATTTTCCTAAACAAGTCATCCCCTTGAAGACTCTCAATGCTGTTGCTTCTGTGCCTATAATGTATTCTTGGTCTCCCCTTCAACAGAATTTTATGGTAAGTTTTAAAAAAAGTGCTGGGAGGAGAACTGTTATGGAGAAAAGGGAGGGATTAGTTTTAGAAATAAACCAGCAAAAATTTGTTGCCAGTTACCCTCCCTATCTTTTTGTTATTGATAATAAGCCAGTAATAATCAGGAATAGGCTCCCCCAAATAAAAAAGAAAAGGTAACTTTGCAAAATAAATGTCTCTTCAATGAACCTAAGTATCTCTAAAACATTGCTGAAAGGAGATGCTAAGTTTATTTAGTTCAGGTGACCAGCTGTCTTTGTATAGCATTCAACAAATTTAGATTTATTTGAAAGCATGTAATTAGTATAATGACAGATGTTTTCTGAGGGATGTGAATGTCTTTATGTAAGACCATCGACTAACATACCTGTAGCAGAATAGTAATTCTTATGGAATAAAGAAAACTTGATCCCAAAATAGTCTCTGCACGTTATGGTCATTCTCGTGTAGCGTTTTCTTCTGATTAGCTTCACTGTATGCAGAAGTCATAACATTAGGCTTCTGATGTAGGAATTTGGCTTATTTGAAAAGCTTAGCTTATTATAAATCTTTGTCACGTCATTATGTATATGATCACCTTTGCTGACTGGTTGTTATGATAATAATCATAGCAAAGTGGCTTAAACAAACAGTTTTATTGGTATACGTACAGAGTTCTTCCACACATTTTTCTACTTGCTTTCAATTCATCAGTGTTTGGATATTTTGCGTGGCTGCAGAATCATGATCAGGAGGAAAGTTTACATTTATTTTCTTAACAATAGAAGGTTCTTCTGTAGTATTGGAAGATACAGCTGAGTATCAAGGTCCATAAATTCTACTGATAAAACATGGGAGTATTAATGCATTTAGTCTATATGCAGACAAAAAAAAATTACAGTGGAGTTCAAATTAAATTGCGAGGCATGTTTCTGTGCTTGCTGTTTAGACAACTTGAACTTACAGTCTTTTTGTGTCATATTTTCTGATCTCTGGCAAAGCACTGGAGGGATGTTTGCAGTAATAGCACGTTACTGTAGAAGAGAACCAAGGAAGGGAGAGTGAACTTCTCAAATGCAAGCTTCCCAAAGCTGGGTGGCTGACTGTGTTTCAAGGGTAGAAGCTTTGTGGAAACACCCTGCTAACCTGAATATTAGGAGCTAGTGTCATTATCTTGAGCCAGTCGCCACTACTGCAAAAAATTGTTGAACGAAGATGAGGGGTTTGTTTTATTTATCTAGTTAATGGTAAATGTACTAAAGCAGTGAAGCCAGTTAGTTAGCTGTGATAGCTAGACGCTCATAGATTGTGAAAATAGCAATGTAGAAATGGTCAATTGAAAACACAATTTAAAATTGTTTGGTTGTAACTGTTGTTACTAGGTAGAGGATGAAACTGTTTTACATAACATTCCATATATGGGAGATGAAGTGCTTGACCAGGATGGTACCTTTATTGAAGAACTGATCAAGAACTATGATGGCAAAGTGCATGGAGACAGAGGTGAGCCCAAGCACTCAGGTATACTAATCACTTTTTCCTACATAAATAATTGTTGTCAGTGTTGCTTGTTAAGGCTTGATGCTTGATTGTTACAGTGGTGTCTCTAGAATCTCTACGTTGGTTATAATAGACTTCCTTTATTTAAATACATTGCTTTGCATTTTCATAAGACTGCAAAGTATTAAAGTAGTAAGAGAAGCAGGAGAAATTAAACACATTAACTTTTTTCCCTAGACCATACAGTCATTCATCATAATGCCTAGGAGCAACCTGGAGAAGTTCTTGGCCTTCAATTTTATGCTCAGAGCTTTAGAACATAAGAGTGTTATGTCCCTATGTGTGTCCTGCCTAGCAGAATGTGGCAGGAAAAGTATGCAAAACTCTGATAATGACAACACTTGTGAATGCCATTTGAAAGGATAACCTCTTGTGGGTTTTGGGTTTCTTTCCTTTAAGGAAATTATTAGCTATTTAAAAACCTCCTTTCTCTAAGTTAGCTTATGGAGCAAAGTTGTATCCTTCTGTTGTTACACCATATATAAACATGTATGTGTTCTTAAGCGTAATTTACCTCTTAGTCTGCGTGGGAGCTGGACTACATGTGATGCCATCTGTCTCTTGGTCTGCTGAAGTCTCAGTGAAGTAGCAACCTTTCACTTGCTCTATGTGCCCACTTGGAACTGGCTTGTGCAAGCCCGAACGTTACAGTTGTAAAAGCTTCTCTGACTGCTCTGCTTCCCTGTTCACAGCAACGTTATCCACCATCCCTCCACCCAAATGGTTTTTCTTTTCTTAAAATTGATTGTATTCCTGTTAATGCTGGACCGACTGAGAGAGCAAGCTACTTTTTTTGAGTACATTGTGTGCCCCTCATGAAGGTTAAGCATGTGATTCAATAATAAAGGCTACTCAGTCCCACGCCAGTCTTATTAACGTCCTCAGGATAGCTGGTGCGTTTGTTTCATGAAGAACATGAAATGTTTCATGGGGTTTTGCCTTCGGATATTTTTACAGATTTACTGATTACTGACATCTTTGTCAGAGAGCTGGTCATGTGAAAATGGTGACATTACTAGTAAATGTATTCTATTATTGATTTAATTTACTATTAAATGAGTCTAGCTTTAAAATTAGTCTTGTTTCACCATCTTGAGTCTCAAGTTTATGATGGCAATTACTGTTATTATGGGTCCTTCAAAACTATATATCGAAAGTAGAAAGGAGGTTTTTTAGTCTGCCAATAACTAGTATTCTTGTATGACTGTAATTAAGTGTAAATGCTGTGGGAATCTCTCATCCAGAGGCATTCCTATGTAGGAGTCAGAATTTTAAGCTAGCTCTGTAACTGCACTTCTGGGAGACAAATTCATGCTAACCTCTGTGTGTATATTTAGAATTCTGTTTAAAACATCCAAAAGAAGTACCTGCCTGTTTTCATTGTCTGCATAGGAATAAAACTGTTAGTTTCCTTCAAGTTATAGTTTGACATCCAACCCCAGTCTGGGTTCAAAAGGATGGTGATAAGCACAGGTCACAGTTATTTTTTGAAAAATAACAGCAGTCTGTCAACACCTAATCATGATTTTCCTCTCTGCAGAAATACCTTATTGTCTGTCTGTGCTACCCTCTAAATTTCACAGCAGAATGCAAGCTAATAAGCAGATAAATGCAGCATTGTATCATTCAGTTTTCTCTAATTTTTTTGTATATAACTGTATTCTTTTTTTATCACAATGCCAGTGGGGTCTGTAGCGGGGAAGTGGATGATACGGAACTACCAAACAAAAAATATCTCTGGGCATTCCCTAGCCTTCCAAGCATAGTTTCATAGACGGTTTGCATGTATTTCCAGACTGGCGTAACCCAATCATGTTGGAATTGGGATTCTGGCATTAAAATCTCTTAAATAGTCTAGCTAGTAAGTAATTTTTTGATCTTCCAAGGAAGAGAGATTTATTTATATCTACAGGTATGAAGCACAGGGAGTAAGGAAAAGAAAAATTTCAACAAGCTTTCTTCTCCCTTTCCCACTTATTAGTCTGAGAAGTAAATACTGACTATTTTTAACTATTCTCAGTTCGTATATTGAAACTAAGAGGGGAAACTAAGAGGAAGGCTAGGGACAATGTGGGGCCGCTGCTGAATGAGGCGGGTGTCCTGGTGACAGAGGATGCGGAGAAGGCAGAGCTACTGAATGCCTTCTTTGCTTCAGCCTTCAGTGCTAAGACTGGACCTCAGTAATCCCAGGCCCCGGAGGTAAGAGAGGAAGCCTTCAAAGAGGACGACTTTCCCTTGGTCGAGGAGGACTGTGTGAGGGATCGCTTAAGCGATCTGGACGTCCACAAATCCATGGGCCCCGATGGAATGCACCCACGAGTGCTGAGGGAGCTGGCGGATGTCATTGCTGAGCCACTCTCCATCATCTTTGAGAGGTCCTGGAGGACAGGAGAGGTGCCCGAGGACTGGAGAAAGGCCAATGTCACTCCAATCTTCAAAAAGGGCAAGAAGGAGGACCCAGGGAACTACAGGCCACTAAGCCTCACCTCCGTCCCGGGAAAGGTGATGGAGCAGCTTATCCTGGAGGCCATCATCAAGCAAGTGGAAGAAAAGAAGGTTATCAGGAGTAGTCAGCATGGATTCACCAAGGGGAAATCATGCCTGACCAACCTGATAGCTTTCTATGATGACATGACTGGCTGGGTAGACGAAGGGAGAGCCGTGGATGTTATCTACCTTGACTTCAGCAAGGCTTTCGACACAGTCTCCCATGATATCCTCCTAGGGAAGCTGAGGAAGTGTGGGCTGGATGAGTGGTCGGTGAAGTGGATAGAGAACTGGCTGAATGGCAGAACTCAGAGGGTTGTCATCAGCGGCGCTGAGTCTAGTTGGAGGCTGGTGACAAGTGGTGTCCCTCAGGGGTCAGTACTGGGCCCAGTCTTGTTTAACTTCTTCATCAACGACCTGGATGAAGAGTTAGAATGTACCCTCAGCAAGTTTGCTGACGACACCAAACTGGGAGGTGTGGTAGATACACCAGAAGGCTGTGCTGCCATTCAGCGTGACCTGGATAGGCTGGAAAGCTGGGCAGAGAGGAACCTGATGAGGTTCAACAAGGGCAAGTGCAGGGTCCTGCACCTGGGGAGGAACAACCTCATGCACCAGTACAGGCTTGGGGTGGACCTGCTGGAGAGCAGAGAGGGACCTGGGTGTCCTGGTGGACGACAGGTTAACTATGAGCCAGCAGTGTGCCCTGGCTGCCAAGAAGGCCAATGGGATCCTGGGGTGCATCAAGAAGAGTGTGGCCAGCAGGACAAGGGAGGTTCTCCTTCCCCTCTACACTGCCCTGGTGAGGCCTCATCTGGAGTACTGTGTCCAGTTCTGGGCTCCCCAGTTCAAGAAGGATGAAGAGCTACTGGAGAGAGTCCAGCGGAGGGCTACAAGGATGGTGAGGGGACTGGAGCATCTCCACTACGAGGAGAGGTTGAGGGAACTGGGCTTGTTCAGCCTGAAGAAGAGAAGGCTGCGAGGGGACCTTATAAATGCCTACAAATATCTGAAGGGTGGGTGTCAGGAGGATGGGGCCAAGCTCTTTTCAGTGGTGCCCAGTGACAGGACAAGGGGCAATGGGCACAAACTGAGGCACAGGAAGTTCCGTCTGAACATGAGGAGGAACTTCTTCCCTCTGAGGGTGACGGAGCACTGGAACAGGCTGCCCAGGGAGGTTGTGGAGTCTCCTTCTCTGGAGATATTCAAGACCCGCCTGGACAAGGTCCTGTGCAGCCTGCTGTAGGTGACCCTGCTTCGGCGGGGGGGTTGGACTAGATGACCCACAGAGGTCCCTTTCAACCCCTACCATTCTGTGATTCTGTGATTCTGTGAAAATACAAAATTGTTTTTCATAAATTACAGTATTTGCCATAATTTCATTCAAGTGTAGGGATGATTAAAAATACTTCATATACACCTTGTGCTATTCTGTTCACTCCCAATTTTGCTGAATTTCAGAATGTGGATTTATCAATGATGAAATATTTGTTGAGCTGGTCAATGCACTTGGTCAATATAGTGATGATGAAGATGATGATGATGGAGATGACAATCCTGATGAAAGAGATGACAAGCAAAAAGATCGGGAAGGTAACAGGATGGGTATGTCTGCAGACTTTAAAAAATTATCTGAACTTGATAATGGCATTGGCTCTGTTGGACACAGGGGAAACTTCCAGCAGCTTCTCACAGAAGCCACCGCTGTAGCACCCCTGCTACCATAACCTGCCACGCAAACCCAATACATTTAGCCACTTTAATATTTTGTTAATGTTTATAAATTTTTAAGGATCCAGTCCCGTAAAGTCTTCGTTGTATGAATAACCCTTACTCACACACAGTCTTGCTGAATTATGTAGGGTTTTTTGCATTAGAAAAAAATATTTGTGTAGAGGATGGTAGTACTGGACCCTTAAATATTTATAAACACTTCTCAGAATTATTTTATGAGGTAAACAGAAGAACCTGACAGATATTTAGTTCAAGAGTTGTGCAGAGAATGGCAAAGGAAATAATAAAGAAAACGCTGCTGCTTTAGACCTGACAACTATCAAGTAGAAGGGTTTGAACAAATTTATCGAGTGATGAAAGAAAAGGGGTTTAATTTTTTATCTCACACAGTCAAATGCACCAAAGATCAGTCAAGCATCTGACTAATAAGTGCTTTGGCACTCCTTGGAAAATGAAATATCATTATTCTAAAATGGGCAGAGTTCTGAATTGCCATCTCTATCTGCTGGTGAAATAAGAGGTTTTCCAAATTTTACTAGTAGACTTGTCTCAGTAG